TTCAGCGATGCCCTTTCCCAGGTGCCCAAGCTGGTGCTTGTACACCACCCCTGACGGGGAGCTCCCCACCTCCACAGGCAACACGGTCGGCCGGGTCCACACTTGTCTGTGGGTGCTGCCATCTGAACCCCTGGAACTCAGCCTGTGCCCTTGGGGTGCACACAGCGCTCACGTCCTGGGGCTGACAGCGCCACCCCCCACACCCTGGCAGCGGCTCCCGGGCCCGAGGCTTCCCTTCTCCGGGCTCAGCGTTCCGGTTCTTTCTGCTCACGTGACAGGGCTCCCTGGCAGACCTCGGCTGCCTGGCCCTGCTAGGGCGCCCTCGCCCTGCCCTCCCTCCCAACAAGGGCTCACTGGGCCCTGACGCGCAGTGGGCACAAGAGTCCCAGGCTCACCCTGGCAAGCAAGTCTGCAGGGGTCCGGGTGGCGGTGGAGGTCACTGAACCTGCCCCTTGGGGCCCCGCTCTAGCACCCGAGTATGATCATCGATCCTCCGGACACAGATCAGGAAGCTGGGGATTGGAAGTTCCGGGGGCTGCCCATGTTCACGCAGCAGGGGGCAAGGCCAGAACTCCCCCAGGCCTCTCCGACCCAGAGCCGGAGCCGGAGCCCTGACCAGCGGGTGGCACTGCCCCTCAGCACCCCTGGCACCCAGTGCTGCGGCTGAGAGGAGGGGGGTCAGCGTGTCGGGAGACATCTGCACTGCAAGGTCTGCACACACCCGCTCCACTGTGTCTCCCCTCACCCCCAAGGCCACCTAGCAGCTGCCCACTTTGCAGATGAGAGGGCGGAGGCCCACGGAGGTGCCAGAACTGGCCTCGGGTCCCGGCTTCCGATGTTCTGTGCTCGCTGACAACAAGCGCGGCACGGAAAGTCCCCGGGGAAACACAGAGGGTTTCCTTGCCAGTCGTGCTGCTCCAGGGCCAGCATTAAACCATGACTGTGCCCTGCAGGCTCAGAGGCCAGGCCCCAGGGGACGGGCCTGGTGGGGCCCCCCGGCCGAGGGCAGCAGCCCCGGCGGAGTCCGGTGAGAGAATGAGAGCCCCTGCGAGCGCCCTGGAGCATGCGCCACGGAGCATGCGCCACACCTGCCTTCTCCGCGTCTCACCTGTGCAGGCTCAAGGGCGGAGACCGGGATAGGGCTCAGGGTCCCACTGCTGCAGAAGGGGTGCCACACCTCTGCCCCACGTATCCCACCCCTGGGGCTCCCTCCCCACCGGCTCTGTGTCCACCTACAGGTCCTGGGCCCTGCCGAGGACCAAGCTCCGGGGAGGCCTTCCGTCGCAGGCAGGCCTCCCGTGGGGGCGCCTGCAGCCCCACCCGGCTGCACCGTCCCAGCCCAGAAGGCAGCAGCCGCCAGGCAGGTGGCTAACTCCGACACAGCAGACCCAAGAGCGACCCCAGACCCCACCAGCAGCAGACCAGCGGGACCCAGATCAAGGCACGGCACCCCTCCCCTAGCCTCCGTCTGCCCATCTATGGCATGGGGCCATATGGGCGCTCTGAACAGACCGGAACGGAGCGGGGGCCGGGAAGCTCTCTGTGGTGCGCTGTGACATGTCGGCCACACACTGCCCCCCCCCCCCGGGGCTACCTGCCCGTGAGTCCTCTTGTGCAAGGCCAGCACCCCAAGACTGTGGATGGATGGATGCTCGGGATCAGGTTGGGGAGGGAGGGAAAAGGCTTATCTAACCCACCCATTGTCTTCACTGACCTTTGCTCCCGGGCCACACTGGGTTCAGGAAATGCCTCCGTGTTCGCCGGGCCTGCCCAGGAGGCCCTGAGCTGGGTGGCCCGCCATGAAAACCTATTCAGGGCCAGCACGATCTGTCTTCTTGAAGGCTCCAACCACCCCTGCTCCACCCTCCCTTTAAACCAACAAGAAAACACAAGCCAGAGAACAAACCCATCTTATTATGAGCGGCTCAAATTTTTAATCCAAACTTTTAAAAGTAAACAGGGCCGTACAAAGGCTTGCCGGAGGTCCTGGGGTCCCCAGGTTAGCTAAAGGGGAGTGTCCCCGGTGGTGGGGGAAGGGCACAGGGCTGACTCGCCTGGGGACGAGCTGGGGGATGGGGGTGGGGCGGTTCGGGTAGGTGGGGCACGGAGGATGGGGGAAGGGCAAGCGGGGACTGCTGGAAATGCTTTTGTCTGGAAACTGCAGCCATTCAAGGGGGCAAACCTGGCTTTCTGGTGTTTGGGGTTCACCTGCCTCAGCTGCCCCCCGGGTCACCGGGAAGAGCGCTGCAATCCAGATTTTAACTGGCCCTCGGCCGAAACCGAGGGGGGGGGAGGGCTATTTGCACTCGCATTCTGAGGCCTGCAGCAGCCCTGCCCAGGACTAGATGGGCCACCTCCCACCACAGCCTCCTGGGCCTCCCGGGGCCCCCAGCCAGCCGCAGGTACCCCACGGCTCCCAAGGGAGGACCCCTGGGTCCCCGTTCCCCAGGCTCGTTGGCGGGTGCAGCCAGACCTGGGCCCAGACATTCAGATGAGCTGACCGTCTACGCAGCAAACAGCCGTAAAGAAGAACACTGAAGCCGGCTTGGCCAGCCCCCAGAAGGGTCCCTACTGGTTTTTCACGAGGAGCCTCGGAAAAAATGTTCACGACCAGGACTCTGACAACTGCTGAGACCTACTGTGTGCAGACCCCAGCCTCCCTCGCCCCCCGAGGATACAGGGGGCACTCTGGGCTTACCCGCACGGGAGAGCAGAGAGGCTCAGGCAAGTGAAGTCACTCGCAGAGAGAAGAGGAGGAGCGGGATTGGTTCAAATCCCAGATGGCCTGACCCCTCGGGGGAAGGGGTTATCAACCATCTGCTCCGCGGTCACCGATAAGGAAGTGACACTTCCCAGGATGGGAGAAGGAGGGCAAGCCCGGATCAGGAACCGAGACTAGGGAATCACCCCTGTCTGCTGATTAACAGGATCAGCCAGCAGGACTAGAGGCCAGAGAGGCAAGCCAGCCCACCGCCAGGGCAGGGGGGGGACCCCGCCGGTGGCCCCGTCCCCGGTCACGCGCAGACCCCTGTGCCTCCACGTGCTTGTCTGCAAAGTGGGGATAATGCTACCTCCCCCAGGGCTCCTGGGAGGACGAGCTGAGACCAGGTCCACAAGGCACCAGCCCTGTGTCTGACTCCGTTTTCCCCACCACCGGGCCGGGGCTCACGGGTCCCACCTCCAGCCTCGCCCTTCACGCGGCTTCAACTACAGGTCCGAGGACAGAAAAGGCCATTTGCAAGAAAGGGGCCTTGCTCCAGTGTCTGGGCCTCCTATCCACGTGGGGAGAACATCTCAGGTCTATACCAGTCCTCCGCTGCTGCCTCCCTGGCCACTACAGGAGAACTTCCCTGCAAATACGCTGAGACACTCAAGCCCTCCCGTGTCCCGCAGAGAACTACTCTCGCCAAGTGTCCTCAATGATGCAGCTGAAAACGAGCAACATTTCATTTCCCAGCCACAGGGCTGCAGCAGTCCCCTCCTTCATGCTGCAGTTGGGGAAATTAAAGCCCAGAAATCTGACCCTCCCAAGCCCACACCCCCACCCCCCCCCAGAAGGCTAGGCCAGAAAGGCTGGGACTGGGGCTCCTCACTCCCCAAACCCTGAAACCCCAACAAATGAAACCACCTCACTCTCCGCTACTGCCATTGGCCTTAAGGAGCCTGTGGTGGGAGGTGGGGTTGGATACAGAGTTACCAAAAGTAACCTGAGTTGTAGACGTAGATTGCTAATCGGTAACAAAATATCCCTCTCAACCCAGTCCTGCCCTGAACTCGCAGGCTGGGAAGGTAAATAAAGGAAAAACTGGGCTACACTAACTTGTACCCCACCTCCTGGGTCCAGTCCGCACCCCAGCCCCCACCCCAAGCACCTGCAGAGGCCACTTGGCCATCGAAGCAAAGACAGAGCGTCCTTCCCCTGCTCAGGCTGTCACTCTGGGGAAGAATCGTCACTTAAGGCCTAATACGTGTTCCCTGAACCAGGAGAGCCTTGAGCAGAACCGGAAAGAGCTGTTCAATCCCCACCTTCAGGCAAACTGTTCGGGTAGCAGCAACTGCCACCAGACCCGGGAGCCGAGCCACCAAAAATGTGGAAGAACAGGGAGCAGTGCCGCGGTTCGGCTCTGCAGACCAGGCCGGGGGCTCCCTGCCCTGGGCATGGAAGACAGGAGCTGAGCTTTGCCGAGTTCAAAGGTCCTGCCACCCACACCCTGGCCACCCACCACTGTGGCACTTCCTGTACGGCAACCAACAGTTTACAAATCCTTTCAGAAGCTCCCTCTCCGCCTCAAGTCCCCAAGGCAGGGCTCACGGGCTCCATTCTACAGATAAGGAAACTGAGGCACAGGGGGGACACAAAGCCAGACCCATGCATGACCCTCTGGAAGGTCTTAGTAGAAGCTCCGCTGAGGAAGGTCTCTCCTCCCTGGGAAGTGCAGAGCTAGGAAGGATCCAGGAAGGCTCTGAGCCTGGGTCCTCGGGCCCAGCTGTCTCGGGGTCTCAGCCCGGCTGCTGCCGGTGCCTCTTCCCAGCCCACAGGCAGCCGCGGGAGGCCCAGACACATCCCCAGCCCCAGCTCACACGCGGGTGCAGCTCTGGTTTGGGCAGCCTGTTGCTGCCAACAAGAGGGAAAATTCACTTGCTGCTAGGAAGGCCATTCATTTTTTTTAACACAAGCTTCCTGCTGGCCCATAAGGATTTCCAGGCAGAGAGGAGGCGCCCCCAAGCCAGCAGAGTGTGCAGGGGCGGACACCGACACTGATACGCCCGCAGGAGAGAAACTTTCCTGGGGTCTGGCTGTCCCGCCCGGCTGCCGAGGAGAGGCTGGGCAGGGACCCCTCTCGATCACTTTAGGTGGCCAGAAAAACACCCCCTAAAGCCCTACCGCGGGCGGGCGGGCGCGAGATATCCCAGCCCTGGGCCTGGATGCCAGGCGAAGGAGAGGTCTGGAGTGGGGGAAGGGGCTGTGACCCGCGCTGTCCCGCCGGTGCTGTCCTTACCGTGCAGGCCATTGGGGATGCTTCGGTGGTGCGGTGGCGCCGACAGGTCATCCAGGGACCTGCGCGTGGCTACGGGTTTGCCGTCGGGGACCTTGTGCGGCCCCGGGGGCAGCAGCGGGGGCGGGACGTGGTGGTGGTGGTCCGGGCTGCCGCCGCTGCCCGCGCTCGACGTGCTGCTGCCGTCGCCCACGTCGCGGGCCCCCGTGCCCGCCGCGCCGCCCGCCAGCGGCCCGCTCAGGCTGGCCTGGCTGTCGATGGAGCTGCGGGAGCCCGCGCCGCCGCTTCCGCCCGCGCCGCCCGCGCCCCCCGCCAGCGCCGCGCGCTCCTCGTCCAGCAGCAGCACCAGCTCCTTGAGCTCCAGGTTCTCGCGCAGCAGGGCCTCCTGGCGCGCCTCGAGCTCGCGCAGCTTCTGCTGCGAGCGGGCCACCTCGTGCCACACGGCGCCAGCCGCGTGGCGCCCGAAGCGCTGCCACTCGCGCGCCAGCTTGCGCCCCTTCTGCCGGTCGTCGTCGAGGAAGCAGCAGAGCTCACGCAGCTCCTGGTTGTCGTCCTGCAGCCGCTGGTTCACGTCCTTGAGGCCGCGGATCTCCAGCAGGTGCTGCTGCAGCCGCCGGTTCACGTCGCGCATCAGGCCGCCGTGCTCCAGCATGAGGCCCACCTTCTCGCCCTCCGCGCGCCGCAGCCGCCGCGCCAGCTCCTCCTTGCTCCAGCGCAGAAGCTCCTCGTCCGGCACCTGGCTCAGCTCCTCCGACGCCGCCGCCGCCGCCGCCGCCGCAGGGGGCTTCGCCATGGCTGGGCCGTCACCGCGGCATCGCCCGCGCCCTCGCCCGGCCGGCGCTCCCCGCGCCGGGGCTGCGCTGGGCCGGTCCGCGCGCGGGCGGGGGGCAGGCGGGGGCGCGTGCGGCCCGCCCCACGCCGCCTCTCGAGTCCTCACGCAGCGCCCGCCCGGGCCCTCGGGACCCCGCGCGTCTCGGGTATCAGCGAGCGAGCGCGGATCGCTGCTCTGTCGGCGGCCGCCGTGCCGGGTGCTCTCCGGGCTCGGGCGAAGCAGGCGGAGGCCCGCCCCCGGCCCAGCTCCGGGGAGCCCCGGCCGCCCCGCCCACTCCGGGCGGGGAGGAGGCGGGGCCCCGCGGCCCGGCCCCGCCTCCGAGGGAGCGAGGGGACGGGCAGAGGCGCGGCCGAGCCCGGAGGTCCCCCATCGCTGTGCGCTCGCCCGCCCGGCGCCCCGACAGAGGCGCGTTGGAGCCGTGGTCCCGCCCTCCAGCCGGTCCGATTGGGCCTCGCCGGGGGTGTGTGGGAGGGGCGGGGCTCGCGAGGGGGACGCTGCGGAAATGGTACAGTCCGCCCACTGGGCTTCGAACACTCCCTCCTCCCTCTGGCGGTTCAAGTTTCTGCGCCGGAGGACGCGGCCTGGGCCAATCCCAGGGCTACAGGGCGCTTTTAAAATGCAGGTACAGTGCGGGGAGGGCGACGGTGGGAAAGGTAGGGCCGGGCTTCCCTTAAAGGGGACGCGCTGAAATGCGCTCCGAACCCCTTCTCCCGCCAGCGTCCCCGGCCCGCCCGCCCGCCCTCGCCCCAAATAAACAAACACGCTCCACCCGGGGGATAGGTCCCCTTCTCCCTTCCGGGGCACCGGAGTCCGGCGTAGTCTGAGCTCCAACGAACAATGGGATCCTGACACAGGGGTCGCTCTCCCGGCGGCAGGGCGGCTCTTTGTCCCCTACCCTGCCCCCGGCTCCGCCACCCCCTTCACCGCCCCGTCCCCCGCCGGAGCGCGCAGAGGGGCTGCGTCTCCACTCTGCCCGGGGACTGTGGCTCCGGCGTCGGCGCACCCGGAGGACCGGGGCCTCAGCAGCCCCGTCCCAGAGCACCGTCTGTACCCTGTCTCCTGCCCCGAGGGGGGTCGAGGGCGCCGGGAATATGCACCCGACCCCGAGCGACGCTCAGAGCACCCCTCTCCGCCCACCCGTCCGCGGGTCCCAGGGACTCTGGGGAGGATCTTGGATGTGCGAGGTGGAGACCACTGGGGCCTTAACGCCGGGGTCGCGCGGCGCCGAGCCAGCCGCAGAAACCCCTCCCCACCGGCGGCCTCGCCCCTTCCCACCGCCTGCGAGTCTGCCTCGTTATCTTCGAGTCCCCGGAGCGCATTTAAGGCGCGTCTGCGGGGAGCCAAGCCGAGGGGGGCGTGCTTCCCCTGGGACCCGCGACTGAGATAAAACCCGCGCACTCGCCCCGGAGCGCGCGCCGCCGCCGCCGCCGCCGCCGCCGCCGCCGCCGCCGCCGCAGCAGCTGGTGCCCCATTTCCGTCCCAGAACCAGCAGCCAGCCCTGCTCCAGCCAAGCCAGTTCTGGACCCCCCCCCGGGGTCTGCGGAGGACGCCCGCAGAAGCCGTGCTCTCGGAGCGAACGGGCCACTCGGGCAGGCGAGGAGAGGAGATGAATTCCATAACTCTGAGGCTGTCCTAAGTGCCGTGCCCAGGATTAAGACCAGCTGCTGTCACAGAAAGTGATCATCGGTCACTTTAGGTCCTGCGGTCAGGAGGGCCTCTGAGGAGGTGCAGTCTAATCTGAGGTCTGAGCGAAGAGGGCGCAGAGAAGGGGGAAGGGCGCTCTACAGACGCGCCGGGAAGAGCTAGTGCAGGGACCCTGGGGGTGGCTGGTTAGTGGTCGCTTCAAGGAAGGCCAGCGAGGCTGGGAGGGGGCTGGGGAAGGCGGGGAGAGGTGCCCCCCCCCCACGAGGGCCGCTCCTGCAGGGTTCTAAGGCTGCTGGGAAAGCAGTGGGGGGCTAGCAGCAAACCATGCCACCCCGTTCGCCTTGAAGGGGCTCACTCCAGACAGAATGTGGAGAAGGAGCCAGGGGTGGGGGGCGGGTGCAGAGGGAGGTCCATACAGATGCGGGACCTCCTTGCCCACCCATCAGCCCGTCTCTGCAGGCAGCAGCCGTCCAGGAGGAGGCAGGATGGCAGAGGGTAAGCCGGAGGGGCGTAGCTTTCCCTGGGAAACCTCAGGGGAGTGGGAGGTCCTGCAGGTGAGGAGGCCCCCTGAGCCAACGCCTGGACCCCAGCCAGAAGGAGCAGAGAAAAGGGGTTTCGAGTCTGAAGTGGGGAGGCTGTGGGCTTTTCCCGCTCCAGGAAGCCAGGGTGAGCAGCTTCCTCACGCACACCAGCGCTCGCGGACGCCCCCAGAAGGAAGCCTGCTCGCAGAGCCGCTCCTGGGAGAGAGAGGGGCGAGCGGAGGACCCGGAACTCACCAGGGGAGTCAAGGAGCGGGTCGCCACTGCACTGGCAGGGGCCTCTGCCCTGACGCGTGTGGCTCCTGGGGGTTCTGGGGCCTGCCTCTCGGTCCCCTGGTCCGCCCTGGCTAGCAGCTTTAGCTGAGCTTCCTGAGAGAGAAACAAAGCCTCTACCCAGAAGGGGTTTGAGTGCATCACCCGCCGCAGACTGTGGAACGAAAGGTGCCCTGGCCCAGACCGCCCGGGGGCATCTCCCACAGCCCCCCGGGCAGCAAAGACAAAGTGCCAGAGGTGAGGCTGCCGGGTGGTTGCAGAGAAAGTCTCTGCTCCCGGCACCGCGGCTGGGCCAGCTTGGGCAGCACAGGGTAGGACTGCAGGAGGTCGAGAGGGCCCCAGGCTGAGATAGGCTCCTGAAGCAAAGCCACAGCCACCCCCAAAGGACCTACAACCCCCAGGGTCCAGCAAGAGGTGCCAAACCCCCTAGAATACACATGGTCCAACAGACCCTGTACCCTGAGCCGGGACCTAGGAAATATCAAGCATCTTGGCCCTTTAAGCCCTTGGCCATGAGAAGCCCCACCTTGTCGTGAAAACTGTGAGGCCAGACCATGGACCTCTCACACTGTACCGCTCTAGGGCCCGGTCCGAGCAGCTGTGGGTCTCTGCAAACATAAAGGGGCTCCACCACGCCCCAGTTCTTCCCTCAGACTCTCCCAGGCTGTGTGTGTCCATTTCAAGCCTCACAGATGTATCTGAGAACCAGCAGCGGGGAGGGCTGGTGCAGAGTTGATAAAATATTCCAAAACGCAGGGTCTGTGCACTGGGGAAAGGAGAAGAGCACACAGTGGTGGTAAGTGGTGGTCTCCCCGCCTCTGGGGGGCGGGAGCAGGGGAGGGGCTCTCTGGTCTCCTGCCGGGCTGGGGTCGGAGCCGGCAGCCCAGACCCCAGACCCCAGGGCAGGCAGGTCTGTCTGCTGTTTGCTGAGTGAATGTGCGTCCCTCCAGGGCACGACCAATCAAGTGTGAGGCCCTTGTTTGGAAGGGGAGGAGACAGCCCCACAAGGTCACTTTCATTGCTCAAGGTCACTTTCATTTGTTAGTTTACCGAACACAAAAACATTAGCTCTGGCCATGTGGCTCGGTCAGTTAGAGCATCCAGATATACCACAGTTGCGGGTTCGATCCCTGGTCAGGACACGTAGGAGAGTCAACCAATGAGTGTGTCAATGAGTAGAACAAAAAATCGATGTTCCCCCCTCCCTTCCTCTTTCTTTCTAAAGCCAATAAATAAAAATGTTAAATGAATAAAATTAGAAAGCATTATAGAAGTCTCTATCCATAAAGGCATGCATGTGTGTGATCGTCTATACATTGTACATGGTCCTGCAGAAGAGATGCACAGGAGGCATCCGTCTGAGAGCATCCTGAGGCGCAGAGGGCTTCCTGGAGGAGGTGACACTGGAGTCGATCTTGAAGAACAGGCAGGGGTTGGTCAGACTGTTGGGAGGGAGCGGCACCGGCCCAGACCCAGAGGGGAGCCGCAGGGAGGCGGGGGTGCAGACGCCGTAGCGTCTTGTTGCTGGAGGGTGCCAGGGCAGCGCTGGGGGGCACAGGGCTCCAGGAGCCAGCGGGGGAGGGCAGCCCTCTCCCCGGGGCCCTGCTAATCAACGACAACAACCACCGCCATCTCCTTCCACTTACCCGCACTCCACACGCATGTACCAGGGGTTCTAATCCAGCCCTCCAGTGTGGGTGTGTCATCGGCCCTCTAGGGCTGAGGGTGGATTCCTGTAGGCTTGGGTGTTTGTCCGCACCAAGCTCAGGTCACCGAGTGAGAACGGATGGGTGGTGTTCAGGGGCCAGTGGATGTGCCAGGACTCCATCGTGGCTCCGAGGGGGCTGGGCATCAAGCTGCAAAGCAAAAGCTCACCCATTCGATTCCTGGTCGGCACACACGCCTGGGTCGCAGGTTCGGGCCCCGGTCGGGGCATGTAAGAGAAGCAACTGATCGGTGTTGCTCACTCACATCGATGTTTCTCTCCCTCTCTTTCTCCCTCCCTTCCCCTCTCTCTAAAAACAAATAAAAACTTAAAATCATTTTAAAAGAGAAAGAAGTCAGGGCCCATGGGAAAGGGGAAGTGACCGTAGTTCAAGGGCAGTGCCGACGGAGCCCTTGCCCGGTGTGCACCCGCCGTGCGGGGGCTGCCCCGGGGTTGTCTCACCGAGTCCTCCTGGTGGCCCTCCGAGGCAGCAGCTCCCCAGTTTGAGGCTCACACGGGTTCAGTCACTTGTCCAAAACACACAGCCAGCAAGTGAATGGGCTCAGATTTGAACCTGGGCCCTCTGAGCCCCACCGATCACTGCCTCCTGCACCCCAATCACACCCTGTCAGAGGGGAGAGCTGGGCCTTCCGCTCCAGCTCTGGTTCGGCCATGCTCAGGGCCTGCCCACCCTGTGCCGGGCCCCCGGCTTCCTCCTGCTTCAGCACTTCGGTGTTCCAACCAGGCCAGTGAGAGGCCAGGGCCTCTGGCCGGGGTCGGAGCTTCCCAGCTGTCCCTACAAGCGGATCGCCGAAAGCTGCTGGCTCGGTCTCCCAGCTCCTTAGTCCCTGATGTGCTGGGTGAGCTCAGGCCAGTGCCTAGCCCTCTCTGAGCCATGACGTCCTCACCCAAGCCCTCCCCACAGCGCCAGTGTGGAGCACATGGCAGAGCTCTCTCGAGGCTCCGAAGAGCAGAGCCACGCCTCCCCCGCCTGGTCTCCCGTCCTCTGGGCCAGGACGGGGTTCCTTCCTGAGCACTTGCATCCTCGCTCCAGAGGCAAACACTGGGGTACGTGAAGCAAGGTCCTGCAGTCCCAC